CTGATCTTAAACCTCATGTATATGCTATGTGGGTACTCACAGAAGAGAAAGAGAATTTAGGAATCAAGTCTTTTCCCCCTTAAGTGCAGAAACAACATCGACTGAGAGAGATGGTCATACTTAAGAGGCAGATTTACAGGAACTGTGCTTGACACACAAGAAAAAGAGAAAGGTAAAAAAAAAAAAATTACCTGAGTTTGTTAATGCTCAAAGGGTAATTTTCAACTATGTCTTTTTATCTGGGATGGAGAAAAAAATAAATTCTCCAAGAGCTCTGGAAATGTCTGTTCTATGACTATTTTTCCTTAATTGCATGAAATATCCTGGATAATTTACTCAAGTTTGTGTAGGTGTGAACTTCCAGACAAAAAGCCAGAAGAGAGGAGGCTAATTAGGCACTGTGACTGGAGCACAGAGTAAATGAGATGGCAAGATTATCGCCAAACCCCACTCTTCAGTTTGGTTTAGTAGTTTGAATGGTTTCTATACCCTTAATCTATGAGGCAGAAGAAAGAAATGCAAAATAACTGACTTGAAGTCAGTTGTCTTTGGATGTGTGAACATTTTGAGCTCCCTGCTTTACATATATGTATTGGACTCTGGGAATAAATAAGGATTTATTAACCAAATATTGTGGGCACACCGCTTAGTGTCTTGTGAGGCACTCAGCCAGTGGATTGACCCACATGAACAAATTTGTGCAGTATAAGCAATACTCTGGAAAACACRGGATGCATAAAAGGTTCACAGCTGGCACAGAATTGGGCGTAGCACCTTTCATTTCCACCAGCTGCAGGAGCAAAGGGATGTAAGAAAAAGATAGCAACAGAGTGACTTGAACTTGCTCGGRCAAAACCTGTTATTTTGTTAAAGGTTACGAGTGTTGCAGGATCACCAGGTACTTCTGTGGACTTTTACCTGTGTAACATGAAATAGTGTTGCAAGCTTCCCAAATTAGTATTTGGAGAATGTTTGAAATACAAGATAATATTTCAGGTTTTATTACTTCTGGAGACATTTCACTGTTGAAAAAATCCCACAATGGCAAAAAGTAAAAAGTGCTAAAACTGAAGATCGTTTCTAGATTAGGAGATTCCGGACTGTGGCTATGCTAGTTCTTACTTTGTCTTGATTTTTCTGTGTCTTAGGTATATTTCCATTTTGGTATCCCTGTAAGACACTGTTGATTAAGAGGTCGCACTGCTGAGGATAAGAGTAAATCAATGGAACTCAAGGATAGACATTGTGTACATTTGGAATTTAGTTCTGAGTGAGTTCCTGCTGAGAAACAGGTTTTTTTTTCCTAGGAAGTGTGCCAGCATCAGTAAGGAAACCAGGTAGTGTTGCTGGGCCCTCAGGATCAAGAGGGTACTTAACAAGCACAAAATGCTGTACTATGAGTGTCCATCCAGGCCATCTCCACAAATACAGAATTTGTAAATATATTTGATGATTTCTACCTTCTTCTTCAGTTCCTTTGTAGTTTACAGTAAGAAAATGTGACCTAAGTAAGAGGCTTTATAAGATCTTCATCCCCATTTATTAAAAAGCATTAACATTCTGCTTGCTGACTAATATCTACTTCTCTCTGAGTGCACAGGTGAAGGGCAGAGGTTTATATTTATTTATTTCTAAAGGAATCTTATGTCTCTTTGGTAAGTAATAATTTTGGAGTGCTTGCATTTAAGAATTAGTTATCMAAAAAACTCAGGAACCAAGCATCTGGACAGTTTCTGGGAAGCTCAAGAGTAATCCTTTTCAGGCAATGTGCACAATCAATTTGAGGCATGCTATGCTTTGTGCAGTTCATGTTAGGCTTATGGATGTGGACAAGGATCCTTGGAAAGTCTCTACAATTGGTGACATGGCTTTTGTGTTGTCCCAAACACCAAGACGCACAACTGCTTTCCTGTTTTGCATTTGTCTGAAATACCTCTCTCAAGCCTCACCATCTCACAACTTCAGGGCATCTGCTGATACCAGTAGAAATGTATTGCASTGGCTGTGGAAATTCATATTTGGAGCTGAAAATCTTTATTTGGCAGAAGATGGGGAGGTTATGATAGTTGAGATAAGTCAACTCATCCATACTTAACCRCTGTCCAGTTGCCATGGGAATTGCACTTCCTAGTGACATGGTCAGCCATGGTAATTAATTAACGATGATCGATCCTGATTTCAAATACATGAATTGGATGAACTAAGATRTGGTTAGGTTTATATGTGTRCTCTTCCSTGAAGGGAGAGCTTTTTAAATCCAYCTGTTTAGCAGCTCCCAGCATGGAAGGTGAGGAATTTTGTTTCTGGATAATTTAAGGGGACAGTGCAGAATCTTGTGTTGGTTCACTGCAAAGATAAATAGCTGAGTTATCAAATATTATGTAATATTTAAGGAAATACTGTGTAGTGAATTCAAGTGTGCTGGATGCCCCAGGTGGACATACATAGGGTAGCTGAACACTGAAGARCTGTCTGCCTGCCTGCTGGAAATGTAAGGAGGTATCCTGGCAGACAGCCTAAATTCCTGCATTCCACCAGTAGTATGAGATGATTTAAGTCCAGGATTTCAGCTGTAGCCTTCTGAGAGCACTGCTCATTCATTGTAGTGAATCCTCTAAATTGGAATGGCTCATCATGGGATTAACATGATAGTGGCGTGTCTTGGTTTGAAAGACAGGTGCTTGCCAATGAAGGCAGGGACTCTTCTTGGAGCAGTGGATATGACTTCTTTTTTTTTTCTGAATTATTGTAGCTTTGAAAATTACAGGTTTTCAGGTAAGAATATGGGTAAAAGGGAATAATAGTTTTAACTAATATGTATAAGAAAATGAAATAAGTAACGACGATAGTAACAACCAACCCAGTCACAAACCTAATGACAGCCTCACAGAGACACAGCCTCCCCTTTGGTGCAGTTACAGTCCCAGCCGGCAGGGGCGCTGTTGGCTCCCGGYCAGGCAGGGTGGGTGCGATGATTCCCCGGCGGCTGCAGGGGGCGCTGTGGCGCGGGTCCCGGCTGGTTCAGATCTCCTGCGTGGCCAATGGCGGACACAAACCGGCAGAAGTGGATGGAGAAAAAAGGTTTTCTGCAAACTTATAGTGGAAAACACTGATTTCGGTGCTCTTCTGGACAGCAAGAAAGCCCAGAATGGCCGGATGAGCAAAGAGACGAGCAGATCCCGCGGCTGCAGACGGGATGCAGCAGAATTCAACCACTGCAGCTGGAATCCCAGGGGTCCCAGCAAGGCACAGGGGCAGAAGATCCCAGTGCAGCAAAGAGAAACCAACGACTTGAGGGATGCTGAGCTCTGCAGAAAGCAACAGGCGAGCTCTCCCCCGTAGGCAGCAGGTCGACCGTCCTCCCTGAGCCAAGCAGGGCAAGAAGTGAAGTTACCCCCGGCCCCACACACACATACCCTTCCTGAGCCCAAAACTCGCTCGAGAACTTCCCTCTCTCCAAAGAGAGGGATAAAAAACCTGCCAGGCAGGAGGAGGGCCTAGGGGGATTCTTCAGGGGGGTGTAGGTTCTGTTTGTCTTCGCCAATTGCCCAGCCATCAGAAGGATGACTTGGCAATCAGTGTATCCCAGCAACAAAAATGGGAAAGAAAAATTCCCCAAGAAAGGAAACAAAAGGAGAAACTTTAATCCACAACAGAATGCTTTCAGCAATTTTGCTGGTTCCTCATAAAAGTAGAGAGGCTGGTTTAGCATTCYTGTTCTTGAGGTAGTTGGTTGGTCTAAAAGTATGTAAAATAAGGATAAACACTTGTGTTGTCTTCTTAACCCACAGCAGAATGGACAGCAATTCTCTGTGAGGGGAACAGAGGTTGCATGGTAGTTGGTCTAAAAAATGTCACCAAATCACGTCTTTCTTCCCTCCCAAATACAGATAAGTTCTTCAATTTGCTTTTAATAACTGAAATGTTTAACAGGTGAAATAAAGCAAGCCTAAGTGGAAAAAGAACTACAGGACGATTTCAAATACATTTTTTTTATGTGCCTCACAAAGGCATGAAATTGAATGGGTGAGAGACTGCCCCTTGAAAACTTTTTGAAAGGGGAAGGAAGCTATGCCASAGATGCTTGCTAGCAATAACTTGAGAGGGATTTTTTTAGGTATATGTTGCATTTTTGTGACATGCATTGGTGACCAGAAGCCATTAGGAATTTCATGAAGTACAGGAGATGACATTACATCTTTGTAAATTCATGCAGAAGAATCAAGAAACGGAATTCAAAGTATTGAGGAACTGCTTCAGTAGAGCCGACCCAGCTTTCTCCAAAGTCAAAGATCTTTCAGTTAGTTTGAAGAGAGCTGGATCAAATCTGTTTGAACTCCACTTTTTTCAGACAATGATAGACTGTGATGAGACTTTCCCTAAAAAAGAAAAAAGTGCTATATTTTCATAAGAACAATGAAATCACACTATCTTTAAAATCTTTTAAGAAAGGCAATGAACGTGAATAGTAATGATTCCAATTTTGCAGAGAAATGATAATTTGTCTAGGATCCCAAAGGATTCCTTCCCATGCTGTGTGTTGAGTTTGCTGGAAAAAGGTCAACAAAATTGCTTAATRCATTAGTGGTGTGTTATTTTACAAAGGAAAAAAAAAGTGATTTTATTTTTTTTTTTCTCCTGTAGTAAAATATAAATGTTTTGCACAACTCTAAGCTGTCTTGTATCATGAGGTAAAACCAATCAAGGATTATGGTTTATTCTTTCTGTGCTATATGGATGGAAAGCCATATACATTATTGGCATTTTTAGTGATGGGATAAATTTATCCCATTGGTTCTAAYGCAGACAAGGTTAGAGCTGAGCTTAAGTGCTGTAGATTAGCATGAAAGCAGCAATAAGCTTTTTCACAGAGCAGCAAAGAGATAGGGAATGAAACACCTCTCTCTTACTCCATCTGCAGTCCAGGGGCATTGCTGGATTAGGAGGGGTCAGCCAGTGAGCTTCAGCTGATGACACTTCTGTTATTTTCCTGTCTTCAGATATCTCAGCTTGTGACAGACTCCAGTCGAGAGGGTCTGACTGAAGCAGCTCTGAACCGCTACAACGCAGATAAACCCTCCCTGTACAGCTTCCCTGCTTCCCAGAGCACGTATGTCGCCAGTGAGGTATCCACAGGCACCTCGGTGGCAGCATCGTTTTTTGCCAGGTAAGAGAGATTTCTAAGATTTTCCTTTGCTGGACAYATAACACACATTTCTTCCAAAGGAGACAAATCTGTGATGAAGAAGGGGGGTTGATAGGCTACATCACGTGTCAAAACATGGCTGTAGATGCAAATCTATCACAAACTTGCAGGAATTACCATGAAAATGTTGTTTGATCCAGCTACATGAATTTTATCTGTGAAATGGGGATGATACTTCTACCCTGTTCTGTAAAATATCTCTTGAATGCTTGATTTGGGTTCAAATGTGATTGCACTCCCAGAACAGCCCTTGACTTTGTGACATTTTTAGAGGGGTGTATCCCTGAATGAGAAGGYCCCATCCTAATAATTTCCTGAGATAGGCAATTAACTGTAGAGGTAACTGGAGGTGRGTAGTTCAGTTTGGTGGCAAACTTCAGACTTCTTGAATGAATTTTACTTCCATCTAGGGAAATTATCAAAATTCAACATTCAGACTGAAAAGTTAAGGTTTCTGATTTCAGCTTCTGTCCCTGTCATGCCACTAAATTAACCTGAGGGTCTAAATTCATCTTTGGAACATGGTTTATATTGAATATTCAGACATGGTTAAAAAATCTTGATGAGACAAAGTTTCATTAATAAAAATATTGTGCCTATTTTGATTAATTTGTTAGTAAAATGTTTTGTTAAATTGGCATAGCAGCTAATAAGTGAAATAACAATTATCACCAACAATTTTTTTTTTTGGTGCAGAAATATGCTCTTTGCAGACCATAATCTCTTTAGCGCAGTTGAATCCTTATGTAACAAAATACATTGAAATAATCCATGCCATTTAATTATTTTTATTAATTAGAAGATTGACTTGGGAAGAGTTGTGAAAGTAATGAAATAATAAGAGAATAGGCTATTATTGTTGCAATTCCAATCCAATCCAGTGAGAGATCTTGATTTCAAAACATGGAGTGAACTTYGAGTGAATGCTTCAAGCATTTTCYGATCAGCTTCCTTCCCTTGAAAGAGCCAAGCTATTTGTAATTCCACATGATTCCATTTTATTTTAAAGGTAAACGGAAAASTTATAAAGCTGTTGGACTCCATAAATTCATAAAAAAGATTTTCCTCTCCTATTTTTCCTCACCAACATGAGGRCTGCACATGTTCAATCAGTGTCTCATGGCAAGTGAGTCGTGTAAAAGGATTAAGCGTAGCATTTTAGAAGATCTAGTTGTTTGGGGCAACTCTGCCATTTTTTCTTTACAGATGTGATGTTGCAATAGCAAATGTGAATGATGACAGTGGTCTTGGCTTGCTGCCCTTTTCTGTTTAATTTAATTTAAATTAAAATAGCTGAATGTACACACATGGTAATAGCTAACTGGAGTGCAGATTGGGATTAGCATGTATTTTAGCATGAACTGATTTATGAAGATGACTTAACTCATTTGTTCTTCATTGTTTCACTGTTTATGCTGAGAGAATTCATTTGGTTTTAATATATTCTGCTGAAATGTAGGAAACTAATTAAATTTACTCAAAATCCCTAGTGTAAATCRTAGCATTTTAAGTAGAACTCTGTTAGCTTCTAGCTGATGCTGTGACTTCTTGGGTATGCTTGGTCCAGCAGAGATCTTGTGTTTAGACTGTTTATTTTTAAACTGTACTTATCAAGACAAAAGTGCCTGGTATAGTTTGGAGTATTATACAATTAGATTAATATCACTTATATAAATCAGTTTTGTCCTGGATTTCAGGTTGCTTCACTTGCTGGCAATTTAAGCAGCAAATTCAAGTTTATTGTTCACTGCTTGACCTTTTAACAAGAAAATCCACAACCTGTTTTTAAAATATCAATAATTTTTGTTTTGCATCGTGTGTGTCTATTTGCATTTCTGTCAAGTTGGGGTAAGCAGCGCAAGGACCTACATGTACGTGTATTATAAAATCTGAAGTAGAAGGCAGTGGTTGGCCAACTCATTAAGGTGGTGCACTGTTTACAGTACTGTCCTTTGGACCAGGCCATGAATTCTAAACTTTGACTTTTTCTGATTGCCAGTGGCACATGGAGTRCTGACTACCAGCTATATCTGGGGTTTTTTTTAAATTGTGTCACATGCAATGTTTTCACAGTAAGAAAGAAATTATTACAAAGCCRGAGAAATTTGCCGATGTGAAGCTGAAGTTCAGAGTTGAAGAGTAGAACTTATTCTTTTGCATAATGTCCCACAGTATTTCATTCTGACTTCTCTAACAAGCAAAGCCAACCTCAGATGAGGCTCAGATATAAGTCATCCATCATCAGGAAAAAATCCAATTAACTAAAATACTGAAGTAAGGAGGAAATGTCAAGGCATCCATGGGAACTTTTGGTTGTAATTACTTCAGAAATATCAGGAGTGGAATACTGGGAGCTCATAATTTTTCTGTTCTCAGGCACTACTAGTTCAACAGTGACAGTCACTTGACTGGCCTACAGCTGGCATTGAGCCATGGAGAAGTATCCTCAGGCCACAGTGACTCTCAGTGTTTTTAAAAACCAGGAGATTTATCAGATGTCTCAATAATTGACTGTTACATTTCATGATCTGTAGCTGACAGATTTCCAAACCAGCTAAAAGGGCTGCAGCTTCTGTGAATTGTCATTTGTTGGGATATTGCTGCAAGGGAACTTATGACACATCAGGATTCCCATGGGACAGTATGTGAATGCTTTAAAGGAACAAACACTGAAAACTGTCCAAAGTGCTCAGCTGGTAGGCTTATGAATATTAGATACAGGTATGAATAATGAATTTCTAATGGTGATTCTGACACAGAAGCTGAATTCAATCAATTGTGCTTTTACTGACAAGCACCAAATTTGCCTTAGTGTTCTGGGCTATCGCTCATTTTTGTCTCAGATATGCTTCAATCATGCTAATTTAGCATCATCTTGCTTCTTACTAGTACACATTCATGATGAGAATAATTCATTTAGTGAATGTGAAATAATGTTAAGATTCTATACACATAATGAATCATTTAGAGAGYGTTTTAGAATTTTTTTTGCATGACTAAACTTTTGCCTCCAGTTTGCGTGTTTGTCCTRAGAAGCACTGCATCTTTGGACCATGACAGCCTAAGCTGTGCCAGCCTCTTGCCTCATGTCCTCCAAGCACCATGTAGGAGTGTGCCATCCCAGTTAAGGGCTTGGTAAATCCTGCTGCTGATGCTGCCTTAGAACTTAGGGAAGAACCTTCTTTTGCTTGTTTCCCTGGTGTCRCTGGGAAGCTTTTTCAGAACCAAGGGGCATTGCAATTTTATTCCTATCTATGCTGTTTCCTACATGGAGAAACTTTCTGGGACTCTGACTTCATCTTTGACCTGCCTACTCTGCAAATAAACCTGCCCTTCTGAATAAAAAATCTCTCCTGTGACTGGGCTGTAGAGTATCATCAGAGGGTGATAGCACAATGCAGGAACTAGAAGTCAAAACTTGAGGAGAGCCTTTCTGTTGTCCATTACAATACATTGAAGTTTTTGGGATCTTGGTGCTGTTCCTTGTTTGCCCCATCATAGTAAGCTTACCTTCTTGGAGAGGAAGACCTTTGCATCAGGACAAAGGAGAAACATAAAAGGCCATTTCACTTGGGATGTAAAAGAAGGTAAAAAGTTTTTGAGGAGATGTTTTTGAATGTAAGTCTTTAAAGTTGTTTCCTGTTGCTAGTSAGAAGCATAACAGTGCATTTTGACCAAAAGCCTGCATCAGTCTGAAATCAGATATAGTCATATTKGGGTTAATTGAGCCTAATGGGAATAGAGATAATCTTGAAAGCAGCCTGAAAAATCTATTCTAGGGACCATTTTCCATGTCTTAGTGCAAATAAACTCTAAGGAGGGCCACACAATGCTATTGTTTTAGATGTTGCAAAGCACGTTTTTCAAACGGAATGTCCAAAATTTTTAAAAGCTCTTATATTAAGACAAAATAGGAATAGAARAACTTAGTTGCATGTATAATGGATATGCAGCTACTCAGCATGGGATAAGATCTACTTACAGTTACCTTAATTCTTGGGAAARCTGCTGGTGACCCTTTCCCAACTCATTCCCCATCCCTGGGTGGTATGGCARCAGGGAAGTTGGAGGTGAGGCAGTGCATTGCCGCCAAGGGGACAGTGAATGTTGTGTTCAAAATGCTGCTGAATGTTTCACAGATTTCCCCTTCGTTCCTGAKAATCCTTTTTGAATATTTTTAAAAATTCTCATGCATCTTGCATGAAATGCAAAGCTGATAYGAGGACAATATTTGTGGGGCCCTCTTGTTAAAGCTGCTGTGCTGTTTTGATGATTTAGCACTCTATAAACCCTGAAATTTCATGCCTCCCTGTTTCTTGCATATATGTGGAAAACTTGAGTTTATCACACAACTTTTGATGTTTGCTGTTTTTCCTTAKAGTTAGTCTATACAATCTTTGTGTCTGTTTTAAAGCCCAAAGGAATCCAGAAACACCAGGGCTTTCCCTTTAAAACTACTGTGTATTGTAGTCATACCATTTTAAAGCCCTAGTTAAGTTGTCACCTCAATATCCTTAAGAGAAAATTATTTTCTGAGACTTGGGTGAGAGCATGTTTTGCTTTGATGCTGTCTAAACTATGCAGAATCTAACATGATTTTCTTTCATTAGCTGAATAAACTAAATWTAACAGTTAAATTGTGGTCAGCCTCTTGGACATTTCAAAGAACTATATATTAGTAACACCAGAATTTCTACTCTTTTCCCTCATCCCTATCATATGCTGGATAAGAAGTACATAAAAAGAATGTTAAAGATCCACAGACCATCTTTCAGTAGGAATGCTGGCAACAAGTTTGGAAACATCTGTAAATCATTTTCACAAATATTTCTACCTTCAAAGCCTGGGCTRAATAATGGAAATTTTAATCACAATGATCTCAGTCTTCCACAAAGRCCATGAAACATTTAAAATTGGCACCTAGGTTTGAGTGCACAACTTCAGTGGCTGATTTTCCATAC